GGGATTGAGGTGGGGGCAGTGCCAGGAGCTGGGCCTGACATCCTCTGCTCCCCAGCTCTGCCCCACTGACAAGACCATGGAGTTTGACCGTGACTTCCGCATCAAGCACTACGCCGGAGATGTCACGTGAGGAGCCATGGGGAGCCATGGGAAAACATAGGGGGTCTTATGGCCATAGAGGACTTAGGAAGGACGTGAGGGACTATTTGGGATCATGGAGGACATGATGCTGTAAGGGGTCTTTTTCGGGTCTATGGTTGACCATGTGTCCATGGAGGACCATTGGGAACTGTGGGGGTGTACTGAGATGGTGATGTCATTTAGACCTTTAGGAGTGTGAGTGGGGACTATGGGCATCCATGGGTGGCCTTGGGACCATGGAGAACTTTAGGCAAGCACGGGGGACCATCTGGGATGGCCAGGGGTAATAGTGTTATTTGGAAGTCTATGGGAGTCTGTGGTTAACTATGAGGCCTTGGAAAACTGTGAAGGGTCTTAGCTTGTGTATGATTGACCACTGCACCTTGGAGAACAATGGGGAGCATTATGGGAGCATGGGGAAGCCATGGGGCTGTGGGGGTTCATGAGGAACTGGAGGAGGCTGTTTGGGGTTGTAATGGACCACAGAACTTTGAGGACCATGAGGGTCTATGGGGAAATCGTTTGGGGCCATGGGGATATGAGCGCCCATCAGGAGCTATGGATATCCATATGGGGTCATGGGGTCCACAGAACAAATCAATTCTGTGGAGACAGCCAGGGGCATGGCACTGATGCCTCCATCAGCCTCCGTGCCAAAACCTGTCCCCCAGCACCAAATGATAGCTGGAGGAGCCCCCAGCAAGATGTTTCCCCACTTCAGGTACTCCGTGGAGGGTTTCCTGGACAAGAACAAGGATACACTATTCCAGGACTTCAAACGGCTCCTCTACAACAGGTTGGGAACATCCAGGGACAGGGAACACAGCGGGGGGCCCGAGGGCATGGCCAGGGAGACACTGCTATGGGGTATGGGGTGGCAAAACTTGGGGCAGTGGGGAAGTGGGGCAGTGCCCAGCACTTCCAGCCTCACACCAGCTCTGTCCACAGCACGGACCCTGTGCTGCATGCCATGTGGCCCGATGGTGAGCAGAGCATCACCGAGGTCACCAAGCGCCCACTGACCGCCGCCACGCTCTTCAAGAACTCCATTGTGGCCCTGGTGGAAAACCTTGCCTCCAAGGTACAGACCCTAGGGCAGTCCTGCATGTCTCCAAACCATCCTGGTGTGACCCAGTATTTATGAGATATGTTCCCAAGCCAAATGGGCATGCTCCTTAACTGGCCATGTATGTTCCCAAGCTGGTCATGCATGTCCTCATGCAGCAGAGATGTCCCTATGCTAGCTAGACATGTCTCCATGCCAGTCTTGTTGGTCCCCAAGCCAGTTGAGCATGTCCCAAAGCCATGCAGGTTTGTCCATGAGCCACGTGGCTTTATCCCCAAGCCACCAAATTGCCCCATCCCCATGCCAGAGATGCCTAGTGCACTCCAAGCCCCAGGAGTCCTCAGCCCAGGACACTTGTAGGATTGGGACCACTCGATTGGGCCACCATGTGTCCCCACATTGACATCCCCACTGCGTGCCCACAGGAGCCATACTATGTGCGCTGCATCAAGCCTAATGACCAGAAGTCTCCAGTGCTATTTGACGAGGAGCGGTGCCGGCACCAGGTCGCCTATCTGGGGCTGTTAGAGAACGTGCGTGTGCGCCGTGCCGGCTTCGCCTACCGCCAGCCCTACGACCGCTTCCTGCAGAGGTACGGCCTCAGGATCCCCGATGATTCCCCAGCCTTTGCACCCCATTGTGTTGGCTCTTGCTGTCTCCAGGTACAAGATGACGTGTGAATACACATGGCCCAACCATCTGATGGCCACTGACCATGAGGCCACGCAGACCCTTATGGAGCAGCATGGCTTCCAGGATGATGTGGCTTATGGACACACCAAAGTCTTCATCCGCACGCCCCGCACTCTCTTCTGCCTTGAGCAGGAGCGGGCACAGCTCATCCCCATTATTGTCCTGCTGCTGCAAAAGGTGGGTGCTGTAGGTTTCAGCCCCAACCAGGCTGTGACGGGGCTCAGTAGAGGAGAGTGGGGCAGCAGGGTGCTGTGGGCGCGGTGTGGGAACTGGCATAAAGCTGGGAATGGGGCAACACAATGGAGCATAGCATGGTGCAGAGCACGGGCATGGCATTGGCAAAGCACTGTCAGGGACATGGCATAGGGGTGACATGAGGATGGTGTGGCAGTGACATGGGGGTTATATGGGGGTGTGTTGGGGCATCGCTTGGATGTGACATAGGGGTGTCTTGGGTCATGGTATGGGGGTGACATGGAGTTTGATGTGGGGTATGGCATGGAACTGACATAGAACATGGTATGGAATGTGACATGAGGGTGGCATGGAGCATAGCATGGATGTGACAACATGGGTGCAGAGTTTGAACCCAGGGCACCATTTGGGACGTTTCTTCAGATCTGGGCATGAGCCCAGAGCAGGGTGTGGAGCAGGATATGGAGGGAGTGGGACACACAGCCAGTCCCACAAGCACATTTTGAGGCAGGGTCAGCATTTTGGGGGCCGTATGACTGCTGGTGTCTTGCAGGCTTGGCGTGGAGCCCTGGCCCGGCGAAGGTGCCGGTACCTGCGTGCTGCCTACGCCATCATGGGCTACTACAAGCGGCACAAGGTGAAGGCATACCTGCTGGAGCTGATACGGCGCTTCCAGGGCGTGCGCTCCATGCCCGACTTTGGCAAGAGCCTGGCATGGCCAGAGCCACCGGCTGTGCTGGGCCGCTTCCAGGAGAACAGCCAGCAGCTCTTCCGCAGGTGTGAGCACAGCCAGGGAGTCACCAGCCCATGGGGACCCATGATAGCAGTGATACCCAAATACCTCATGCCCTCATCCCGCAGGTGGCGAGCGCGGCAGATTGTCAAGAACATCCCTCCCTCCGACATGGCGCAGATACGGGCCAAGGTGGCCGCCATGGGGGTTCTGCATGGGCTGCGGAAGGACTGGGGGTGCCAGCGGGGCTGGGTGCGCGACTACCTGTCCTCGGTAAGGGCACGGAGCTGATGGCAGGACCCCAAGCCCCCTTCAGTGCTCCCATCTCACCCCATGCTCTCTGCAGGCCAGCGAGAACCCAGGCTTGGCGCTGCCCTTCGCCCGCCGCGTGCAGGCTCTACGTGACAAGGTGCACTTTGGCACTGTCCTCTTTTCCAGCCATGTCCGCAAGGTGAGGGTCTTGGCACTGCCGGTTTGTCTCCATTGGCATCCCCTGGCTCTGCCTCTTCACTCAGCTCTGCCCTACAGATCAACCGCTTCAACAAGAGCCGGGACCGTGCCATCCTGATCACTGACCAGCACCTCTACAAGTTGGAGCCCCGGAAGCAGTACCGAGTGATGCGGGAGGTGCCGCTCAGCATGGTCAGTGGCCCCACACGCACGTGGCAGCAGGGGTGACCTGCCTGGAGAGCTGGTGACCCAACAGGAAACCCCCTCCATGCTCCCCATCACCACCCAACAAGACCTAGCTGCCCCTGTCCAGCATGAAGACCCTTGGGTGCTCCCCATGGTCATGCAATTGGGTCTAGCTGCCCCTGTCCAGTGTGAAGAACCCTTGGTGGTCTCAATGTCCATGCCATGAGGCCTAGTTGCCCCTCTCCAGCATGAAGACTCTTCCATCATCCCCATGTCCGTGCTGTAGAGCTGCCTGCGTTGGCACAGCAAAGCTCCCTGGGACGGAGTTGTCTCAGTGTCCCCACTCTGTGACACCCCCTTGTGACCCTTGCAGGTGACAGGGCTGAGTGTGACGAGCTGCCGGGCGCAGCTGGTGGTCTTCCACACGCAGAACCACGATGACCTGGCCGTCTGCCTGCACAAGACACAACCTCGGGGGGACGAGCGGGTGGGCGAGCTGGTGGGCGTCCTGCTGGAGCACTGCCGAGCGTGAGTGGGGCTGAGTCCTAGCCCAAGGGGCACCCAGCGGGGGCAGTGCAGCCCCCCAGGGTGACCACAGCCCCGTGCTGAAGCTGTGTTCTTGCAGGACCAAGCGGGAGCTGCAGGTCCATGTCTCTGACCGCATCCAGCTGAGCCTGCGTGGGCGCAAGAGATTGCTGACTGTGGAAACTCAGCCTGATGTGGCTGCTCCCGATTTCCGCAAGAGTCGCGATGGTTTTGTGCTCTACTGGCCTGGGAGCTGAGGGGGTGGACATCGTGTCCCCAACTGCTGCCACTAGTGCTGTGGTGACAGGGGACAGCTGTGTCCTGCATCCCTGCCCCATGCTCTGCCCCTCTGGGTCTGCCCAGGACTCTGCCTGGGTGAATCCACTGCAGCCCCACAGCAGCCCCAGGGCTGGCATCACCCCCAGCCCTGCATCCCCCCATCTCCCTTCCAAGGTAATGCTGAAACCTTTGTGTGCACTGAGAATAAAGAGTTGGTGGCAATGTCTGGCAGCATGTCGTGTCCCCTTCCTACTCAGCACCCTGCAGCCTCTCCAAGTGTGGCCATGTCCCTTCGGTCCCCCTGTGGGGTTGGGGTACCCTGGAACTCTGCCCCCAGCTAAGGGCTGTGATAGCCCAAGGCAGAGGCTAAAACTGGCTGCAAGAGCACAGGAATGGATGGGAAGGGATCGCAGATGGAGTGGGGTATGGATACAGATGGGATGGAGTGGGAAGGTTGTGGGGATGGTGTGGATGGAGGTGGAGTGTGATCTACTGAAAGAGGACAGATTTAAGTCAGATACTGGGGAAATTTTTCACACAAAGGGCAGTGAGGTCCTGACAGTGCTGCCCAGAGAAGTGTGGGTACCCCATCCTTGGGGGTGTTCAAGGCCACAGATGAGGCCCTGCTCCAGTGGGTGGCAACCAGTGCACAGCAGCAGGTGGAGCTAGATGATCTTTGAGCTCCCTTCCAACCCAGCTCATTCTATGATTCAGTTGAACACAGCAGGAAGAGCTGCAGCTGTGCTTGCTGGGGGGAGTGTGACACGGAACTGTGTTCCGGGGCAGGAGGTGTTGAAGTCACACCCAGTGCTGCAGGAGCTGACACAGATGTGCACCCAGCAGGGCTGCAGGGTGCTGCTGACTGACAAGCCGTGCTCCTTCGACACTCCAGCAGCTGAAGCACACACGGTGCACGTCCAGGTAAAGGGGAGCAGCACCTACGGGGTGAGATCCAGCTTGTGCAGCTCTGGTGGGAGGCCCCCAACTTTGCACACCCTGTTCCAGAGCTGCTGGAAACTGCAGCTGGGAAGGAGCTGCAGGTACCTGGGAACCTGGTGAAGGAGGACCGTGGCTCTGCCCCTTGTCCCCTTGTCCCCTCGTCCCCACTGGGACACATTTCCCCAGTGTCCACTCTCCCCCTTTTCCACTTTAACCCCATTTCCCCCTCTTCCTTTTTCTCCTCCCCCTATTTATCACTCTTCCCTTCTCCCTTTTCCTCTTGTGCCCTCTGCATTTCCACTTTCCCCTTTTCTGTTTTTCCCTCCTTCAATTTTCCCCATTACTCTTCCCTTCATTTCCCCAATTCCCCCCTCCCCATTTCCTCTTCCTTTTTCCCGTCTCCCTTTTCCTCTCTCTATTTTCCCCTATGCCCCCTCCCCAACCCTCATGCCCACACGGGCACAGCACAGACCCCATCTGTCGGCGCTCTCATGGGGAGCCCCCAGTCCCACATTCAGCCCCAACCTGGGCCCCAACCGCACTCATGTCACCGTTATGAGTTCCTGTCACCACACCACTTCCCCACTGCCTAACTGGAGCCCCGTGCCCCTGCTTTTGTCCCCGCAGTGTAACCACATCCACCCAGCGTGTTCCCATGCTGCCCAGGGACAACGAGGAGGACTCAGCGATGCGGCTGCTCCTGGTTGGGAAGACTGGGGGGGGACGAAGTGCTACAGGGAACACCCTTCTGGGGCGATGTGCCTTCGAGTCCAAGCTGGCCACCGAGCCAGTGACGCTGAGCTGCCAGAAGGCAGACGGGCACTGGAACGGCCAAGACATCACGGTGATCGACACGGCCGACATCTTCTATTTGTGGGATGACAACGCTCAGGTGCACAAAGAAATCTTGCACTGCATCAAGCTGTCCTCCCCGGGTCCCCACGCAGTGCTGCTGGTCACCCAGCTGGGCCGTTTCACCCAGGAGGACCAGGAGGCCGTGCAGAGTGTGCAGGACGTCTTTGGATTTGACGTGCTCAGATACACGATTGTTGTGTTCACCCGTGGAGAAGAGCTGGTGTCGGGGTCCCTGGATAACTACGTGAAATACACTACTAACAAAGCTCTGTGTGATGTGATCCAGAGCTGTGGGTACAGATACTGCAGCATCAACAACTGGGCCAGAGGGGCTGAGCGGGACCAGCAGGTCCAGCAGCTGATGGAGAAGATCCAGCAAATGGTGCAGGAGAATCAGGGCAAGTACTACAGCAATGAGATGTACATGGATCCCTATTTAATGGAAGAGAAGGTGAAGTATCATGTGAAGAGGTACAAAGAAGCTAGGAAAAGGAGAGACCAGACCTGCTGCAGGAAATACTGGAAATGTCTCATGGTTGTTGGGGGGGGTGTCATTCTCGTGGCTGTGGTTCTCTCAATTTTCCTTTCCCGACAGAAGCCATGAATCCCATAATTCCCAAACGGCAGAATCACAGAGCACTTGGGGCTGCAGGCATCTCTGGAGGTCACCAGCTTCACCCTTGCCCTTCGGGGTCCCCCACCACCCACTGCCCGTGGCTGTGTCCCATTGTGTGTTGAACATCTCCAGGGAAAGAGATGTTGCTGCCTGGGGGAGAGTTAATTTTCTTCATTGAGGCTCACGCATTGCTGTATTCTGGATTTGTGATGGAACACATGGTGATAGCAGCCCAGTGTTCTGGCTGCCATCAAGTGGTGCTCACACAGAGCTCAGGGCTGTCCCATCCCTATGCTGCCCTGCTGGTGAGGGCTGTGGGTGCACAGGGAGCTGAGGGGACGGACCAAAGGGATGTCCTATTCCATATGGTGTCGTGCTTGGTGATAAAACTGGGGAACAAAGAAGGAAGGGGGACGTTGAGACTAATGGCGTTTGTCTTCAACAACAAAATGAGACAACAAAATGATGAGCCTGGCTTTCCTGGGGGTGGTTGAACAAGTGCCTGCTGATGGAAAGTGCTCCATGCATTCCATGTTTTGCTGTGCTTGCGCATGTGGCTTTTGCTTTACCCATTAAACTGTCTTTATCCCAAACCAAGAGTTCTCACCCTGTTCCCACTCCAACCTTCTCCCTGCCCCACCTTGGCAGATGGAGGTGGTGAATGGCGAGGTGGTGCTGAGCTGCCTGCAGGAAGCAGGAGGGGCTATGCGGTGCCTGGGGGCTGCAGCTCAGCCCTGCCCCCAGCCAGGCAGTGCCCTGCCCCAACTGCACATATCAGTTGAGGCCAAAGGTACCACAAACAAGCTTTTCCTGTAAACGCACTTGGTTCCAAGAAGCGCAGAAAACGAAACTAAGAACGACAAGGAGAGATAGCATTGGCTCTTGCACCAAGGGCAGCTTTCCCTTGCACTTCTGCCATCCCCCAAAGCAACCGCATACTCCGTGGCTGTATGCAGTCTCTGTACATCCCATCCCCCCAAGCCCCATTTAACAGAACCCTGTGTGGGGGATCACACGGGGTTGTACAGAGCTGGCAGGGAAAGAAGGGAGGTTTTCAGCTCTGTCTCTTACAGAACAGGTCTCCAGAATGGTGGTATAATTTTCCTTGCCATTGGTGTGATCTTCATGGTTTTCCTTATCCGGGGGGAGAGAAGAGTTCTACAGCCCCCCAGACCTCAAACTGCTCAATGCTTGGGGCTGTGGGTACCTCTGGCATCGCCCACTCCATCACTGCCCATTGGAGTCCCACAGCATCCACTGCCCAGGGCTGTGTCCCATTGGGTATTGAAGACATCCTCAATGGGCAGCCAGTGCAGCGCTTGCTCACCCGCACAGATGGGAAAGAACTTCCTGACCTTTCCCTGGGAGTTCCTGTGACTTCAGTTGTGCCCATTGCTGTGTGTGCTGGCTCTGGGCACTGCTCAGTGCCCCCCAGCACACACAGACAGGACATCCAAGCCCTCTTCTCCAGAGAATCACACAATGTCCGGACTTGAAAGGAACCCATTGGGACACAATCCTGGCTGCACACAGCACCACCCGAGTCCAAACCCCGTGACTGTGAGTGATGTCCCACCACTCCCTGAGCTCCAGCAGCTCAGGGCCGTGCCCTGGGGAGCTGTGCCATGCCCACTGTCCTCACCCCCACCCGACCCTCCCCTGACATTCCCTTGGGCCCTATAGCTGCTAAGAGAGAGCAGAGATCAGTGCTGTCCCTCTGATCCCTTTGGGGAGCTGTGGGGCCAACAAGGAGCTGTGAAGCCAACGAGGAGCTGCAGGCCGCCATGAGGGAGCTGGTGGTGATGCACAAAGAACGCACTCTTCAGAAAGAATGTGCTGACCTCTGAACACCTCCTTATCAAGATAGCTTTCTGATATTCCACTGACTGAAACAGACAGGATATGTTTGGTCCGCTCTGGACCAAGTGGACTCTGTTTTATTGTTGTGTATTGTTTAACAAGACTTTAAAGATTTGTTTTGGGTTGGTTTGGATGGTTTGGGTTCTTTCAATATCAGTTGGCCGACATTTCCTTGAAAACTTTTTTGACGTGGGATTGAAAAACTTTCATTTTGTAAAAAGGAGAAGCGTAACACCACAATTTTTTTTTTTTTTTTCTTCCCATCATTCTTAACTGCATTAATTTAAGGAGGATTGGGAACGAAGGATGGGTGCTTCAACCCTTGTCTCAGTGCCACATGTGATCACAGAGATGATGGCAGACAGTAGTCCTCTTTATAACTCATAAAGCATGAGTTATGCTGGTGGTGTTCCAATCTGTCCTATTGCCTTGCTCCTCTGAAAAAGGAGTGCTGGTTTAGTGGGAACCTCAGCTTGGTAAGAATTACATTTTCTAGAAGCCAATGCAATGCCAGTGGAAGCAAACCACATATACTCTCCTACTGCTGAGCTTTGTAATTTCCTCTTTGAGAGTAAGCAGCTGTGTCATTTTTAATATTGTAGTTTTTTATATAGAAATGTGATGGATGCTCTGCTGTAAAGAGATATCTTGAAGATGTGTCACTATTAACTATCCGCACACATATGTAATGTCATGTGTATCTTTTGGGCATGATGTTCATGATCCCTAATATCAGGTTGTCATACTCCTATGAATATTACAATTTAAAGAGTTAAAAAATACTTTAATCAAAATCTCTGGGGCTATTTGCTAATGCAAGATGTTAAGGAGTCAGAGAAAATAGCCTTACCTTAATGCTTGGAAAATAATTATAAAGAAGTGTTCATCATTATCCCATTGGAAATATGGAAGCAATGCAATAACAGCAGGAGTGTGTTTGGAGGATTCATACAGCATTTAATAACACTCGGTTTTGTTCTTCCTTTGTGCAACTCTTACGTGGTAGCTGACAACCCGTTTCTTTTGTTTTCCCCCATTTTATTTCATCCTGTCCTACTGCATAACTATCCTGGTGTCTCTGAGAACTCTCTTATCCCACAGTTAATAAAGCTGGAGGAGAGAATGCAGAGAATGGACGCGTTTCGTATCAGCCAACCTCTGGTCACTGCATTCTGGGTTATGTGATTATATTCCAGTCTTTTTTTTCTCTTCTTCTTTATTTGATATGCATTCTTTGCTTGCTCAGAGCAGTTGTGTGGGCAGAGAAGTACTCGTAGGCTCATACTGCCATGGAAACAAGCTCCATTGGCTTGACACTGTGGCAACTTAGATGGTTTGTTTGGGATCCTGAAAGCATGGAGCTCTTGTGCTCTATTTGTGAGCACCCTTTATGAAGCGTTATTGCCCATTTCTCTTGGCTATGTAAGAAAGCACACATAAAGATAGCAATTCATCTGTTCAACATAAAGAGTTTTCATCTAGGTGGATGCTACGCTCCTGGGGAATGCATCTTTCCCAACTCCTTGCAAGCCTTCTGCCTAGAAATGCTTTGCTAATGACTTTTCTTCATTAGCTGAAATCACCTGCCAACATTCCCAAAGTCAGATAATCTACAGATGTAGAAATGTTGTGTGTCCAGAAGGAGCAGATGACTCCTCTCCTAGCAGTTTATGCAGTGCTCTAAGTGGAGTTGCTGGTATTTGTTGTAGACAGGGGTTGTGGGGCTGCAAGTATGCCACACGGGCAGACCTCTCAAATATTATCACAGCTTATAATGAAATTATAACCTGTGATCTGTGCCTGCTCTTTGCCCATGGACCTTACCACGTGTAGTACCATTTGGTATCACTGATTTTATTACTAGACATCTGGTCCTCGTGGGACATCACATTATCTGGGTCCTGTTGGCCTTGTGATCTCAGTCCTGAAATGGTCACTCACATCTCATGGGAAGTGTCCCCATAACTTTCTCTTTATCATACGTGAAATCCAATCATCCCTTGCAGTGCTATGTATAAATATTTCCAGGTTTTTCATTGTTTTGTATGGTCAGCAAAGCCTGATGCTGTGGTCAGTATTGTCTGTCCCATTAGCTAAGCCTCAGAGCAGCACCCAGCCTGCAGGCCTTGCCCAAAGCTCCTACCATGGCATCACTCCACAGTGTTTGCATTATCAGTGTTTTGCAGCTGAAATATCCCAAGAAATTGGAGCAGCTGGTTGGAAGATTTCACAATTTATGAATTATCTCCAGTAACCATAATGTGACGGTGTGGAAAATTGAAAGCATATTTTCTTGTTTAAATGGTAATTGACATGTGGTCAGGAAAATAATTAACTCATGTCCAGTAGTAAGCAATACCATGCATTAGCACATAGACTGAGAAATAAACAAAATGCAATATCTGTAAATAAAATTACGGAAGCAGAATACATGCTCTGACTGTTAAGTGACTCTTCAAGCATCCTTTTTCCCCTTTCAATATATTTTCCCCTTTAGATACAACAAGTGCTTAATGCAAGAATATTAATCAAAATTTTGCTTTTTTTTCTGCGGATTCTGTAGGGCTTCCTCTCCAGACTAGCTGTGCTCTTACACCTCTTTTCCAAGACCACTGCCCTCAAGCAGTCACTTCTATTTGAAGAACACAGGTTTCTTCCTTCCCTTCCCTTCCCTTCCCTTCCCTTCCCTTCCCTTCCCTTCCCTTCCCTTCCCTTCCCTTCCCTTCCCTTCCCTTTTTCCTACCCTTTTTCCTTGATTTTTTAAGGAAGATTTGAAGAATAACACGGGGCAACCAGAAAGATGTGCCTCAGCATCCTTTTTGACACTTCTAAATCTATTAAGAATAAGCATGAAGTGCTCCCCTTCCTTTAATTTCACCCTTGTATTCCTCAGTCCAACTCGCTTCTTCTGCCATGTATTTGCACTGGTTTTGACTTCAGGTATGAATTGACCATCACCATCTCATACCAAATCATTGCTGTTCTCCTTCTTTTATACACAATCACATTGACGAAGCCTGATGATCAGCTAGTTTTTTTCTTGGCATCATCCCCTTGTCCCTTTTTCTCAAGGAAAACTGAGAGTCATAGAATGGCTTAGAAGGACCTTAAAGATCATCCAGTTCCAACCCCCTTGACATGAGCAGGGTTTCCAGCCACCAGATCAGGCTGCCCAAGGCCCCATCCAACATCGCCTTCAATATGATGTAAATAACTACATATCTCTGGGGCACATTTACATCTCAGGGAAATTTCAGTGGTTCTCCCCATCCCTCTCTGCAGGAGCCTGCTGGAGAACAAGACTCTGCATGCTGCAAAACGCTCTTATCATCCCACAAAATGTACAACCATCTTGACTTTGCTTGCTGTGAGTGACATACTTATTTGCTTATAAATTGTAGAATGTTTCTCATCCTTTCCATGAAAATCACTCCAAGTGTGCTTTTCAAAGGCTTGTTTTGTATCTGTCAAAGGCTTGATGCCTCCTTCCTTTCCTTTTCTCCCACAGTTTGCGCCCCGCTGCACAATGCTGTTAAATGTGAAGTGCCCGCCATCCCACTCCACTTGATATCTGCCATCCTCCTGTTTGAAGGCAGACTGAAGAGGAGTGCTTTGCAGGAAAGACTGGAGAGGTGCTATGTAGCTGCATGTGGGCTGTAGTCGTGTAAATTCATGTAGGAAGACAGCTGAACTCGATGATCTTAGTGGTCTTTTCCAACCTTAAGGGTTCTTTGATTCTATGTCTGTTTCTAGAAAACAAAGACATGAATGAATTGGGAATTTCTTATAAATTCTACATGAAATGCTTCAGAATTTCAACTACTGCTTTTCTTTCTTATCTTTCTTCTGTCTTACACCTTAAGCCGAAGCAATAGAACAGAATCTCAACAGCAAAAATCTGATAGGAATTCTCCTTAACAAAAGCTGCGTAGCTTATAGTCTGCAAAATAAAGAGTAGTTGGCTTCTTTGACCTCACCTGGTGAACTGGCTTTAAAATGCAAATTGAAATATTGGGATATGTTCAGTTTGTTCCAAATGGGACATCCAGATGAGAAAGGATTTTTAAGTCCTATGCACAGTGAGGAAGTTACGGTTTCCAATTAAAACAAATGGACAAGTAGGATTATTTATGAACACGTGAAGTGTGACATCAAGGAATTTTTAGTCCCTAACTGCAGTTTTACTGTAAAACACGAGGGTGTGCTCATGATTCATGGTTTCCTTTTTTTTCCCCATTAGCTTGAGAGCCAAACCCCCTCACATCCCGCTGAGCGTAAATGAAAGACACCCGAACCAAAACGTTGCCTTTTGCTCCATATTGCAGCAATTTTCTCTGCTTAACTGAAGCTGAAGTGTAATTAAACGCAGGTCTGGAATAAATGTATTAGCAAAGCTATAATTTTTACAGATCTTCATCCACTTCTGCTTTCCGATTGTTTTAATTTTCTCTCTTTTTTTTTTTTTTTTTTCCCCTTTTCCCTCCGAAAGCAGCATGGGATTTTTAGTGTAATGTTAGAATTTTTTATCATGCATTTCTCAAATATTTTCACTGCTGTAGTGGTTCCCAACTATTCTAAATTTCCGTTGTGGTATTCTGGAGCAATTGGGTAAATGAACCACAAACAGTAGTAGCATTTCCGTTCCTTGATTGGATGAGCAGTTCTGGCATGAATAACATGCTTGTGTGTGTACGGATACAGCCTTTGGAGTCTCAAATATGCACCCATGAGATCTTGAAAGTAATTTCTTATGAGCATTTCTGCTAAAAAAGGAATGCTTGGATATTTACTGAGAGCCAATGCAGAAAGCTCTGGCTGCCTCAAGGCCCTGCAGGAATTCAAGCCTCGTTATGTTTGTTACACTGCGATACAGTTACAGACCTGATTGGGTTTGGTACCCAGACAGTGTGAAAAATTAAGTTTATCTGAGATCAGCAGAAACAGCACGATGCTTGAAAACGGTTAATGATTTAATAGGAGAATCAGGCTGCAATTGGCCTCAGATTTGCAGGCATGTACTTCCATCCGTGCGTATGCGTCTGTGTTAAGAACAGCAATATGTTGGCTGCTATCTTGGCCATTTCTCCAGTCTCCAGCGTGGTCACCATCAGATACAAGCAGCAGATCTCATTTGGATTGGGCTCTTGTGTTTGCAATAGCTCTAATGACGGAGAAATCTATCCATGCCTAAGAGAGTTTGGAAAACAGACAGAGAAAAGGAGTGAGGGGTGAGTTTAGTGATGTCTGTGAGTGGTGCTTGGAGTCAGAACGTGCACAGGGATTTAGAGGAAGGAATGTGTTACAGCCCTTCTGCATCTCGTGTGCATCAGCCTGGGCCTTGCCATACTAGTGAGTGCCAAGAAGACATGATTTGGGACTTTATTTGAGAATTTCCCCATTTTTTAAAATCAGACTGAGAGAGAAAGCTCTGTGGTTCCGGGCTGAGTGCAGAGCTCAGAGCGTGATGCAGTGTGCTCCCTCCAGAAAGGTGTGTATCTAGTCCTTTTGTTTTGTCCTGGTGCTTGTGGATGTTCTCAGACATTAATCCATTGTTTATGGAGACCTAAGCCCTTCCTATGTTTATGCACAAGCAATTATCTATTTATTCCAGCATGGAGAAGAGGCAATGAGGTTACAGTTGTTTCTAATGTGCATCTGAATATATGTTCTTTTGATTGCTCTGTTTTTCAGGGTATTTTTTCCCCTCTAACAATGCTTATCCTTTGTTGAACAACTGTTGGATGGTTTAGCAATAATGTCTAATTGTTAGGGCCTCTGCCCAGCATTTGTCTGGGATGTTTTGTCTGTGTTACAGTTTTGTTTTTTTTTAATGAAAACCTTCATAGAAGTGACATTGGGTTGGAAGGGTGGGGGAGGTATTAAATAATTGATTAAAACAAGAACATTCAGTTGAAATCAGTCATCGTGAAATTCGGGAGAGCATGAGGGAGGTGAAAAGGATTTTTAACTGAGATTCTTTAGTAAAAGTAAGGCCAAATATTTCCACTTCAGTATGTAGTTTAGCATTAACACACAATTAAAAATTTTAGATATTAACTGTGTTCATCTTCCATGAACTTGCAAAACTTGCATTTTGAATCTGATAGGAGGTGATGGAGTCAAAGTGTTCAAGAAAGGTGGAGATGTGGCACTGAGTGACATGGGTTAGAGGACGATATTCATGGTAGGTTGGAATAGATGACCTTAGAGGTCTTTTCTCACCTTATCGATTCTCTGATCCTATGATTCTACATCAGTTTTATTCTCCCCCCCGTTGCAGCAGACAGTCCCTGAATCTCCTTCAAAATTCAGAGGTATTTGAAATTTGGATTTAAAATGTTTTGTGCCTGAGGGCTGCTCCTGCTTCACATGTTCATCTCATTTGAATGAAGACCTTGAGGTCTGTCCAGCCGTCAAAGGTATTGGAATTTGCTGTTTTGGAGAAACATTAAAATTTTTCATTGGGGGAAGGAAAAGGTAAAATTCCAATGGAAATTGTATCCTGCCTTTCCGGCAGGCCTAGCAAGCATTTGTCATTCCATCTCCATCCTTTCTAAAGGCATATATTGAGTCTTGTTATAAATTACAAACACCCATAAGGCATCTCCAAGACATTTTGTGTCTCTGCAATATTCCCCTTCTCTCTCTAGGGCAGCGGCTCAAACTTTATCAAAAATATCGACGGTCTTATGTTCGTGTTTTTGAAGGAAGATAATTATAGACACCAAAAAGAAACCAGCTGAAGTGGAGGGCTGTGTTTTTTTGTGGAGGCACGAGGCCAAATCATCACCGCGAGGCTGCACGGCTCGTTGTCTGCGTAGGCTTCAGGAGCAGATGGAGGGAGGTGTGGGGCCTCTCGCAATAGAACTGGCTGGGATACCAGGCATCTGCTTCACGAAGAACGAGGAGGCTCTGAAATACGTGCGGGTGTTCGTGTAGAGTGTGGGTTGTGAAGTTTTAGTGGTGGGTTGGGAGAGGGAGCAGGCTTCCTCCCAACGGCAGGTCCCAGTGCTGATGGCACAGCATGGAGTCTGGGTGGGTTCCCCTCCCAGTGATGCCATTTGCTGGCAATGTAAGAGGATGCTGCCTTTCAGCCTGAAATTGCTCTGGAGAGCACAGCCTTGCCCTGTCACTTCCCGCCTTATAATCAATTCCATTTCAACGTTGGCCTCGGCTCAGTTGTACCCATTTGATGCTGAAGGGAGTTTATGTGATCCTGCTTCTGAAAAGACCCTGTTCCACTGGTTTTAGCTTGGCAACATGATCTTGCTTGGATCAAACTTGCTTCCATTTGGCGGTCTTATGAGAAACACCGAATTATAGATTTGTAACTGTTTGAATTTGATAGGATGAGAGGGAATGGCTTCAAGTTGCACCGGGGGAGGTTTGGGTTGGATATTAGGAAACACATCTTCTCAGAAAGAGTGGTC